ATATTCACATATGAAAACATAAAAAATAAAAGAAAGGAGTTGACTGAAGTGTTGTTAGGCTCTGATCCAGTTTTTTTTTTTTTTTTTTTACTGAATATCTCCTTTGGAAGTCCTTGGGGGTCACAGTGCATTCCTTCTGACCTTCTGTTCCAGAGTGAGCTAGAGGAGTGTTTTCCAACCACTGTGCCGCAGCACACTAGTGTACCATGAGTGATCGTCATGTGTGCCGTGGAAATTATCCAATTTCACCTAACGTATTTTCCGGACTATAAGCTGCTACTTTTTTCCTACACTTTGAACATGCGGCTTTTCTGTGAATTTTTCAACCACCAGGGGGCTCTTTAGCAGGAAGTGAATCATTGGAAGTCAAAGTTAGAAATCAAAGAAGAACGCGCTAATTTTCATTTAGAACAAGCACATGCTAGCAGCAGGCACAACGGAGAAATGTTTTCAAACTCATATGATGCAGCTTCTAAGTTGAGGAGTTTCGATCTGGCAGTACAGGAGGGAAATAAAGGCGCTGCACGTAAACTCGGCATGAACAAAACCGGATTTGGAGACGGAGAACTGCATCATTATTAGCAGTTATTAATTATGCAATTAGGACGCAGCCCTCTGCTGCCCTCTGCTGGGTCCTTATGGAAAACCGAGAGCGGCAGAGATTCCAGCAGTCTGTCGCCCGGTGCGGCTGATTTATGCAAGTTTCCACGGGCGGGTGTGGTGGGTTTCAAACAAATTTGAAGGTACGGTTAGTATGGTGCGCTCATAGTCCGGAAAATACGATAACTGGTCTTAAAAGATTTTTTGAAAACGAATTAATTATCTGCAAATAATGCCGTCTTTGAGTGTCTTTGCTGTAGTAGTGACTAGTGGCGTAATCATGTAATTTTATTATCACTAGATGGCAGTAGGTACAGAACATTTTACATTAAAACAAGAGAATTAGTGATACATGAATGTTACTACATTCATGCATCACACATGACTGTGTGATGCATGAATGTATCACTAATACATTCATGCAAAAAAAATTGCAGTTTTTTTTTCAACTGCAATTTGAAAAAAAAAAAGTAAAATATGACAAAAATATTTTTTTGTGTTTATTTGATTCCTATTCAAGGCACTTTGATAATAATGACAATATATGTAATATAGGCGACTACAGAGTATCTTTGTTTACATTTTTGGTTGGTGGTGTGCCTTGTGATTTTTTCAATTAAAACAATGTGCCTTGGCTCAAAATAGGTTGAAAAACACTGTGTATCCCTTGAGAGAGAACTGATATCAGGATTTCCCTCCTGATAACCTTTGTCACCCAATAAGTGGGAGATGATGTACATAGATGGATAAATAAACAGTGACTAAAATCATTTCCCTTTTCTCCATTTTTTTTCTTTTTTACCCCAGCAAGTTAATTTTGAACAGTGTAACTTCAGCTTGACTTAACTTGCAGTGTCTACTATCATTCCTGTCTTTCCACCTTTCTGCCTGCTGCCAGGCATGGTCCTTCCTGAGCCACCTCCCAGTGCTGGAGGTCCAGATGAGTGTGAAGGGATGGTGGGAGCAGAGCCAGGAGCAGATGGAGCGCCCTCTCACTGGAAGGGGCACTAACTTGAGAGAGGAGAGCAGATGGCTGGATGTCCATGCTGACCAGGAGTACGTTCTACAGGTGTCACTGCGTCGACTCAATCTGGGTCAGCACAGGGTAAGTGTCATGTTTCAAGAGATGTAGCATAGAAATTCAAACATCTACCTTTGAAAGAGTGACATAGTTCAACATGTTTTGACATTACATTGTTTTTGGTTTAAGTCACAAGTGCTGTGACACTCTTTGAGAGCAACAACTATAACAGTGCTCAGAAAGTTTAACTTATGATAAAAAAAAGAAAGCCCACCTTCTGTCAGATTGAAGGTTTTAACTAATAAATGTTATTTTATTAATCAAGTTCAACCTTGTCTTCACATAATCCACATAATCCTTACTGCCTTTATGTATTTAAAAAAAGTAAAATCTAAAAGTGAAAGTTAGTGGAAAAAGTTTACAAGTCTACAAATTCCTAAATAAGAACAAATAATTTAAAAACCTGCAATTTAAAAGGATATAGTTTCATTTTTTCTAAAACTGCATGTAAAATCATGAGTAAAGGTGAGACATTTTTGTATATTACAGAGGAAGCAGGAAAGTAAGGCCCAGGCTCCCAGGTTCCCTAAAGCAAAGGACGAGGGATGGTTCCTCATCATGGGGGAAGTGGATCGCAAGGAGCTGCTGGCTGTCAAACGGGTCGGATACGTCCGGAACCATACCACTGTGTCTGTAGCCTTCTACACCCCAGAGAAGACTGGAAAGTAAGATTTTGATCCATACCAACCTCAGGTGGTGAATATGGGACTGAACATCATTCACCCTGGTGCACAATACAGCTGGAGGGCTGTGTGCTTAGCCCGGTTCTTTTTACACTGTTCACCCATGACTGTGTAGCCATCCACACCTTTAACCACTGTGGGTAACTTCCAGTTTTGAAACTTAGAATTTTATGTTTTGTTATGACAACTGGTAAAAAAATAAAAATAAAA